ACTTAGAGAAAAAATGAAAACTCTTGCTTTTGAAAACAGAACCTCTGGTTGGGGTTCTAGATCTTATTTTCCATCTCATATGTGACTTGAGGAAGTTATTTTAAGATCCTTTTCCTCAATTATAGCATGGGTTTGAGAGAGAATATATCAGCAGTACCAGGTTCCAGTGAGGGTGGGTTCAGATGCCCTAATGTCTGTCATGGAATCTGAGAGAATTTGATTGCATGAATTCCATAATAGCTGACCCCTGGTTTTCAGCAGGCTGGAGCCTTGACTGCCATTTCTGCCCACAAATGGCTCAGCCTTCATGGTGCAGGAAAGGGAAACAGGCTAGAGCCAGAAGGCTGACAACACACTTCTGCTCTATGTTTAAAATATTGGGGTTATTTACTTCAGTTGTCTGAGATTAAGTTTCTGCATTGACAAATGGGGAATATTATATAAAGAGTCTAAGACCAAATGTATACTGAGTGGCAATAAAAGTTACCTGGATATTTGGGGCTTTTGCTTCCAGAAAGCTCAGGGTCAAATTAAAATTTGAAGATTATCAGCCTTCAAATTTATATCATATATTCTATACTTATATTTTAATATAAACTGATCTTGACATTTGCATTTGTTTTTCTTATTACAACTCTTTCTATCGAAGTTACTTTATTGTAGAAACCATTACTAAATATTTTCCTAAGTGCTTTCCATCTAAGAAGATAGCACTTAGATAAACTAACTGATAGTAGGAACAAATGGGCCCTTATGTTAACTCTGTAAATGCCACTGTGATGTGGTTACTCTAATCTTCAGTTTCCTCATTTGTAGAATGAAGCATAATAAATGTACTGTCTTATGATACAGGAAAAAGGATCTAGGACCCAAGTGTTTTTAAAAAGAACTTTCATAAATGGAAACACTTAAAAATAGAAATGGTTATTCTTTGTGAAAGAGTATCTTCTTTTACTCATTTTTGTGATTATCCCCCAGAAGTGTCCAAGCCTCATAGTGTAAGGACAGGAATGTGCTAAGTGCAAGAAAATGGTTATTGTATCTCACTTCCTCTGAGGCCTCAATCCTGCTGGCCTCTGTCCTTAGCAAGTATTTGATGACCCAGTTACTGGTGATAGATGGATTGCCTCTGCCTCCCAGACATGAAATAAGTCTGAAGGTGGGGCATGAAACATGGAAACTAAAAGGGAAAGACAAGAGTTAACTAAAGATACCCAGTGGGCTAGTGAGTCTGTCAAATGCCATCATGTAGGGTAGACAACCAAACCCAGCAACCTAGGAATTCAGGAAGGATCTGTTTTAAAACACTATGGTTTGAACTGAAAGGGAACAAGGAGAAGATGACACTATCAGAAAAATACATAAATAAGAAGATTTAGAGGTGAATAGAAAAAGAAAGTCTCTAGAAGGAAAACTCAGAAAATAACTCTAATAAGCAAAAGATCTCAGGAAAAAATAACAATCAGATATACTTAAGGGCTCTGAGATCAAAATCACATTATAAAATAAAAGCCAGCATTTCGGCAAACCACGCTGCAGACCATTTGTCCTTGAAATGTGACGCACATTCCTTTTTCAAGATTGTCAAAGCTCTCCAAAACAACAGCCCATCCCAGACAAAGCTGTGTCACCCTTGAGTCCCAGAGGTCACGGTTCCTATTTAATTGAATGGATGTTGCATAACATAGCAGTCCCTTAGAATAGAAAACTCTAGAAAATAAATGTACCCTTGGAGACACAGAGCTTGAATTAGGCAAAGCCCCACCTGTTCAATAATAAAATAATTGCTTAGGGCACGTTCTTCTGTAGTTTTTCATTTTTTCTTCTTTTTTTTTTCAGATGTGACATCTATTCTTGTGCTTTGCCTCTTTCAATGCTTTCTCAACATTTGGAAATAATCTCAGGGCCTCCTCCAGACGCTGATGCAGAAACCAAGCAGTTACTCCTCTAATGCCTTGAAAATAGATTCAATTTTACATACATCAGGGTGATTGGAGAAGCAATTTCTACATCTCCAGTGTAAGCATTACTTACATTTTTTCCCCTTAAATCTCATCCCAGTTGTTCCTCAGGGCATTTTAAAAGGTGCCTGATGCATTCTGGGGCAATCAAAAGAATCCCCAGAGCATGTGGCGACTGAGCATGTAGCCAGCGGACACCAGATGCGTGGAGAAAGGGCTAAAAATTCCATTGACTCAAACAGATGAAACATTTCTTAATAATTGAGTACATTAATGCCGCCCAACCATATTCCGTCATTTTAAAAGCAATTTTATTAACATGAAGGCATAAGCATATGCATATATCTGTGATATGCAATATGAATATGACTATAAATATATATTAATACAAATCATAAGAAGAGTCTCTGGACTTCAAAGCCTCTCATTAGGTTTTACTGGATATGCTTACTCTTCCTTCCTAGCTGGTTAATCTACCTTAGTCTTGGGTGCTTCTATCCTGTTAAGTTTTGGTTCCTGGGAGGAAAGATAGTAATATTTCCCCTGGAAACTCAAGAAATTAGTGTCATCCAGGTTGTCACTTGTGTAATCACTTGCTTTTAGATTTTTGTACCACACCCAGGGTGCTCAGGGCTTATGGGAGAAAGAGAGAGAGAGAGAGAGACAGAGAGAGAGAGAGACAGAGAGAGAGAGACAGAGAGAGAGACAGAGACAGACAGACAGAGACAAAGAGACAGAGAGACAGAGAGACAGAGACAGACAGAGACAAAGACAGACAGTGGAAGAGAGAGACAGAGAGGACAGAGACAGACAGAGAAAGAATGAACAATTGTCTGCCTTGCCATAGAGGCAGGTTGACTGGGAGGAAGAAACAGGGACATTGGTGGAGGGAAGTAGACACTGGTGAAGGAATGGGTGTTGTATGACTGAAATTCAATCCTGAACAATGTTGTAACTTTGTAACTGTGTATTTCACTGTGATTCCCTATTTTTTTTTAAAAGAACAAACCAAGCCCATTCCTCTGTCCCTTCTCTGCCTCTCCTGATCTATGTTGTTCTCTTGCTCTATTTTTCCTGGTCTCTAGAAAATTATGAATCCCAGAGTTTCACCAGGATAGAGAATGGAAGAAGGACTAGCTGCTTGGTAAGGCAGATTTCAAACTTGCTGCCTTCAAACAGAAGTTAAAGATTTGCTCATAAAATAATCAGTCAATTCCATCATGCTGTCTTAATAAATTTACTTAATCTTAAGAAACGAGCAAACTTGTATGTCATCAAAGAGCAAAAGGAGAATATGTGACTGTAATTCATATGATGTAAAGGGAAGAACACAACACCCATAGCATCATCCATGTCGTGTCTACCAAAATAATTTACATGAATATAATTATGAAAAATAAGAGAAATCTGGATTGTGGAATATGTTATGGGACAGAAAGATGTCACCATCTTGAAAAAAATAACGGTAAAAATTCTATTGTAAATGAAGATGATAAAGAGATATGATGATAAAATATAATCACCATGATTATATTTTGATTGTATTATATCCTAGATTAATGATGATAATAAGAAAGATGATGATAGCAATAATACTAAGGGATAAATAAAACATTTTTACTTATGAAATAATATACATATATGCATATAGACAGAGAAGAAAGGCACAAATACTACAAAATGTGAACAGCTGGTGAATCAAGGTATATGGTATTTGAATATTAATTTCGCTATATTTCTCAACATTTTAAAGATTAAAAACAATCTCCCTTCCCAAGGCAGCACACCTATATTTGAAAATACTATCATCTCCCTCCATGTTCTGTATCCTTAATCAAGGTGCCTGTAAAAATCCTGTGAGACTATAAGATCCATATCCTATCTCCACTACCCAGAAGATTTTTGGCTGAGTAGGTAAGTTGAGGGTTCTGTGTATATGTACGTTTTTTAAATTTGGGGGTGGATTCTATTGCACTGGAAGTTGGTCATCATGGCTCTGAGATGCCCTCAGATTGTGGATCATTTAGGAATTAGCTGTGGATGGTCTGGGACAGCTAGTCAAACACAGTGAGCCTTGGGTACCTTATCATAAAATGGGACAATAATTCAAGGTTGCTGAGTAGTATTTGTTTCCATTATTTCCTCATATCTTACAGACTCCATCACCCCCAACTATCGGAACTAAAGGATTTTTCCCCACAAAATGTGGTTTCATCTATTTATTGTCTACATAGTATGTGAAGGAATTTTGTCTACATTCATATCCCTTTAGATTTCCTGCATTCTCCACTTCGGAAGAGAGGTTGGGCACTTCACATTTCTGTTAAGTCCAGGAAAAGAACTTTTTACAGATAAATAACACAAAAAAGTCAGCTCCCTTGAGTCTAATGACAAAAATATAATTAGATGTTACCAATCCTAAGCTTATATTTTAGTTGAGGGATAATCCTGAAACATAAACCTCTTTAATTAGCTAAGTCTTCATAAGGACTTGGGTGCTCTTAACTAAACTACTTGGAGTACTGACTATGCCTTGGAGCCATGACTTTCCATTCTGCTTAAGTTGCTCATCAACAATGAAACTCTGGAGAAGTCACTTTGCTGAATCTAACTTTCTTAAGACATGAATAACCTATGACTTCATACTTTATATGGTGTCTGTGAAACATTGCTTTGAAAACTGAAAGACAATTCAGTATGGCAGGGTCTTCCTAAAGTCATAAGCATAATTCCTCTTTTTTAAAAAAATCATGATGAGTTTTAGCCTGCTTCTATTTCTACAAGCAATTAAGATGGCCTGCGTCCACTTCCATATTCTTCATAGGGAGAGAAGTGGGAAGGGCAGATGTTTCAATTCTTCTTTGAGGCTGCTTTAATCATTGCCAGCTAGCCCCATCATCCAGGGAAAGTTGAAGCATTATTAAATGAAGCATTCCCCGGTACATATCCAACCTCAGCTTATAACACAGGACCACTTCAAAAATACTTGGGTTGAGCTAGATCATGAAGGCCCCTTGCCACTTAGTTGGCCCAACTTACTGAATCCGTTCACATCCTGAGAGCTAGAGGAGAAGCCTTCATCATTGCGATTGACATTGAGCTTGGTGGAGGGCTTGTCAGCTGAGGCCACGGGTCCCATCTCCCTCTGCGCTCCACTCTGGGTCTCCTTCTGCTTCTTGGCCAGCTTCCTTTGGGACATGTGCAAGGGGAAAAAAAATCACAGTCAGATGGTGACAGTTGCGTTGGGGAGAGCAGATGGCTGTCCTTCACCTGGCCTATTCAGTTCCCAAACCTGATTTGTTCTCAAAACCGAGTCAAGGCTGTTGAATCCAGTGTTAAGGTGAAATATCTAAGTCTTCATGATTTTCATGGAATCAGAAACTCGAGGTTTATTGTGCTGCACCCCCAATAATAGGTGTGTCCTGTACTTGAGTTTGAATGGGAATCAATGAAACATGAACAAGGATTTTCTCCTTCTCTTTTCAAAGAGAGGAAAAGGAGGCCAGACTTATTTGCTATGTGGCTCTGATTGAATTTCTAAGTCTGGTTTCTCAGGGATGAGTTTATAAAATAACCCCTCAGACAACTGGGAGACTAGAGTTAGGGCTGGTGAATAGGGTAGATGGTATTTAGTCTTATCACTTGAAAGAAGAAAACTTAGAGATGAAATTGTATAGCAATTTCCATAGACTATCAGATTCTCAGAAACAGAGGGGACACGATGAAAACAATAGCAAAAAAATAACAATACTGCACAACAATGGTTTTCAAATAATGGAGTAAATAAGAATCATTGGGAGAACTTAAAACAAAAATATAGAAAGGCACAGGCTCATGGAATTAGGACCAAATTAGGACCTGTGTATGACCAAGTTCCCTCCGGTAATTATGGCACCATCCTTAAGAAACTAGAACCACCAAGCTGGGGATCAGGAAGATTCAGGGGACAATATTCTGCCTTTCCTACCTGTTGTCTGTCTGACCAGGACAAGTTCCTTAACCTCTTTAAGTACTGAACTCCTTCTTTATATACTACAACAAAAAAAACAAAATCAAAACCAAAACACACAATAAAACCAAAAGCCCAGGACTGACCTCACAGGGTAGAGAAGATTAAATAAGGTAATGTTTGAAATCCATGGAGTACAATGCTCAGTACAATCAAGGTTCCATGTGACAGCTCTAGTCTTGCCTTTATCTCACTACCACTATCCCTTGAATCTAAATCCACTTCAATAGCACAGAGGTGAAAGCTGTAGATTGTATCAAGTGATAGTGACTTTGACACCTCGACAGGGAGACGATGGCAGGTTAAAGTTTCTTTGTAAAGATTTGAACTACTTCCATTAAATTTTAACTTAATGAAAATTGACCTTAGATGTATTGTCAGATATGTAAAAAAGTAGTTAACCTTTCTTGTAGATTACAGTTCTTCCAATATTTCTAGAAAGCCAATAAGGTTGCTCTGAATTTTCCCAACATTGATGCATCTAGCTAGAGTTATTTTCCTTTGACATGACTGTTTATGTATTGCACATTAAATATCTCTAGGGTAAATTTTTCAAGTCTCTAGCTCCATTTTTCATGGGATATGGCTTCAAATTCAATTTTGGTACTCTTACCTCAAGACTAAGTATAGAGTTATTCCAGAGAGGTCAAATTCAGAGTTGTGTGGAATATGTATGAAGTTAAGTCCCCCTGATAATGAAAATGAAACAGACAGCTTCAGGAGGTAATGATCTAGAAGGCTAACCCTAGACTTACAAGTATTTTACAAGTTTTCATGTAGGTTCATGTACAGTTTGATAGCATGATAGCCCCCACTCTTACCTGGGTTCTTGATCTAGGCATGTATAACACTAGTGAATGACAACACACTCAAATGGGGAGGATTCGAGAGGACTTATATAGAAGTGATTGACAAAGTTGGAGAGATGTGGTAAAGTCTAAGGAACTGTTTACCACTGTGGGTCAAGTTGGAGGGACAAACAAAGGAAGCAGAAACTCAACAAAGTTATGAAGGGGGGTGCCAATTGGCACAAAGGATATGGCCTCCCTTGCAAGTCCTTATCAGTTCTGGATGGTCTTACAGAGGGCACGGGCGGGGGTGGGGGGGGGAGGTGAATGCCTTGGCTACCTCTACACCTCTTCCCTTTGACCACCTGGGGTGGCTCCCTTTAGCTAAACCTATCTGGAAGCCAGAGATATGGATCTGTCTCTGTAAGCAGAGTTCAGGGTGGAAACAGATAAGCACGGACTCAGATCCTGGTAATCTACACCAGAAGAGAACTTTTATTCCCCTCCCATTTGCCATACTATGAAGATAAATGCAATTGCAAAAGGAAATTTTTCTTGTTCTGTTCTCTTTTTTCCCAGTTGGCCTGGTGAAGGCCTTGGGACTAGACATGTTTCTCTTTTATAGAATGCTTGAGCCAGGGGCACACTGACCCACTAGTAAAACTAGTGCTGGCAGACTGAAACACAAGAAATGAAGCATGAGAACAGCTGGGACTTTTCTCACTATCCATGGCCAATCAGGCAGAGGCCAGAGGGAATGCCGGGCAAAAGAAAAATGAGCAATTCTGCTACTCATGACATTTTGAAATTTTACTCTTCATTTATTATCAAAAAGGAGTGTTTAAAAATGTATATGTGACCTTCCTAGTCATAAATTTGAAAAGATATACAGCAGACTAGACCCTTTACTTCTATCTGAGCCCTGTTCACGTTGCCCCAGCAGGAAATGAAAGGAAATCTGATCAGAGAGTTAACTTTAAAACTATAATTGAGTATGTATTAGATTCTCTGATATTTCCTTGGGGGAAGAACTCTCAGCCAATCCCATTCCATTCAGGGTAAAATAATATTAAGAGATATGTCTTGGGCACAAATCATTAGTTTCCAAAGGAATGACAGTAATACATAAAAGGCCTCACTGTGTCGATAAAAAATGCCATTTAATAGAAAGAAATGTTTGGGTAGCTCTGAACACCTGGGTGAAAATAACAAACTGCACCTCTCCAAAACACATGGATATTTAAAAATTGGACAGCTGAGTTGTCAAAGCTCAGATATATGACATCAGTATTTAATGCATGGTTGACCCTACATATTTTTGGTGATAATGATGATGATGGGCTGGAGCAATAGCACAGTGGGTAGGGGGTTTGCCTTGCACGTGGTCAACCGGGCCAACCTGAATTTGATTCCTCCACCTTCAATTCCTCTGCCTCTCTCAGAGAGCTCAGCGAGCGACGGAGAGTATCTCGCCCGCAAGGCAAAGCCTGGCAAGCTTCCCATGACGTATTCAATATGCTAAACACAGTAGTCTCACAGTGTTACTGGGCCCACTCGAGCAAATCAATGAACAATGGGAGGACAGTGACAGTAACAGTGACAATGATGATGATACTATTTGTAACTGTACAGACATGGATTTTAGCATCAGGAAACATAAAATAGAAAGGAGTAAGGGAAAACATTATAGATTTGGGAACCACCTTTCTTCTATCAGAATCTAAAATTTAAATGTTGAAAACATTCACAGGGACCAGAGATGTGGCTTTGTGGAAGAGCACTTGCCTTGCATGCAGGGTACCAACAGCACACACAGACACACAAAACTAACCCCCCAAAAGCTCTCTCAACAATCCAGGAAAAATCATTTGTTGCCATAGCCCTAGAGTTTAATTAGTACCCCAACCTCTTTCTTTTTTATTTCTGAGAGAAAAGAAACCCAGACTGAAGGCTTCCACACAGCCTCACTGATCACATCTTCTTTGAGGAAAATCCTGGTACTCATCCCACCCCAAAACCAACCCTCAGTACTTTCTAGTCCTTTGTGTGGTCCCAATTTTCTCTGTGGGCCACATTGTCTCCATCCCCCAAGGCTCAGTGGATTTCCAAATGTCACATAGTCTTTGAAGTAGTGTCCCTTACGCTCTAAGCATACATGAGTTCCTCTTCTTGACTCATTATTGAGAACCTACAGGGCCCAATGGACAGAAGAGGACCATTATGTCAAACACACACATGACCTTAACCTTCACAAAACAAAGAAACTAGTGAAAGGACAGGCACTCTCTGATAATATGCAAGTAGAGACACAATTTTCTACTCAATGAAAGCCAAGAAATGCAAGGCACAATAAGAACTCTAACAGCTTGTTAGAACCTGTCAGAAGACCAGGGAATGCTTGCTGTCATGTCAGCTAAGCTTCTGTGGGCCAAATTGCTAGTTGGCTCTCTTACCCTCAAGAACCTCTTGGGACAAGAGGCTTTTGACTTCTTGCACCTATTCAGTTTCTGGCCAGGTGCCTGGCACATACCCGGTGTTCAATAAACGTGTTGTACAAATTTACATTGAAAAGTCTATGACTTGAAGTGCAGAAAAGATTGTCATTACTTAGACTGCAAATTATAACCACTTTAAATGAGGACACTTAGAAGTAAAGAGGACGAAAAGCCTGCAGAAAATGAGTTTGTAACTGGGAATATTTTTTACTTATGAATGAATATTTTGGGGATAACAACTTAGTATTTTCTTCCCACAGTTATCACAGAACTCTTGAGCTGTTTGAAGAATTAATGCAAGGTTCCTGAATGGACAAGAACTGTTTTCTTGCCCAGAGTCCACAGGACATCAAAGCTATTCAAAATAGTTTTGGGTGGAGGCACTCATGAAATAATTATAGGATGCAAGGGCCATGAAAACTCATGAGCTCCTCAGAGCTTTCAGGTCTCAAGTACACGGGGTTTTCAGAATTGAGGCTCTTTTTCCCTCTAGTTATTCTGAGATTCTTGCGCATCAGGCCATACAATCTCACCAGCAGGGGGTACCAAAAGCTGGTACAAAGTGAACAGGCATGCCCTGATCTCTTCTTCTGCATGTTTGAAGCTGCAGTAATTTAAGACACAGAAAATGGAAGTGTCCTATTTCTGATGGGTGAATTGGGGGAACTAGATGGGAGATGACAGCCCTGGGTCCCCTTTCTTCAAAGGGATCATACTGAGGTCCTCCAACCTGTGCTAATGAGGAAGAGGAGATGGGAAGGGATGTGCCAGGATGAATCACGTGAGTCCTGTGACTCCTTGTAAGTATCACTCTTCAGGAGGGACAGTGGCAGATAAAATGACATCCTGGAGAGCCCAGCAGACTCTGAAATCAAGTGAGGAAAGCAAGAAGGTCAGGAGTGAGTG